ATGTGACTTCCAGTAGTGACAAAATCTGCTATCTATTCCAAGCCACTGCCTTCAATTCACTAATCTTTACTCATTAGGTCTACGATCAACAACACGCATCTTAGCTGCAATGTATTAATTAAAGGTGCTGATTGCTTCCCTTGATAAGTTCGGAAATCCGGATTTCGGAAACTTTTTCCCCGACCTCAGGCCGATTATCGCGAAAAGTCTTGATATAATATTATCAGACAATGCATTATGGTCTGTACATTTTGAGCCCCTGCGCAAGCGTTTCCATGGGGTCCAAAGAGTTCCGGATAGTTGTGTTTTTTTGGAGCGATTTTTTTTTCGTAGCCTGGTGGTACCAGTGATTGAGTTGTCTTGTATGCCCTTTTTTGTCGTCTGTGTTCACTGGAAGGTCGGTTTCTTTCAGTATTTTTGTTAAAACTGAAAGCACATTCAATCTAAAGCGTGGGTAGTTGGAGGGTGCCGTGCACCCTTCGTCCTTAGCACCTTAATATAATTTATTTTCTCTGTCGTGTCTGTCTGTTTGTTTGTCTGTCTGTTTGTTTGTCTGTCTTACTTTTATCAGCAGTAATCTCCCCCCCCCCCCCGGGGCAGCGCCACTGACTGTAGTGTCTTTAGGCCATTCCCCCAAATGGGGGACATTTCTCGTTCAAGCACTGTAGAATTGTAAATAGGCTGATTCATCATGTCACGCTCATAACTGTGCCTGATCTGCAACAGGGAACAGCTGCTTTTTCTTTTCTAATCCTTACTATTGTCATTATCCTCTACTTCTTTTGTATATTTATCACACTCTTGTGACCCGCTATTTCCGGGGTGCCTTAATAGTCGAAGCAGACTTTGTGCTGTTGAAGCTAGAGAGGTGAGCAGAGTAAGTCTGATTCCTTATGAGGACTTCTCTGTTGACACCCACCCCTTGGCACTCATATGACATAAAGCAGTTGCGAGCGCCGTAAAACCCTCTAGATCTACACACACAAAAATCAGCGGTAAATTATGGATCGTTTGAAGGCGTCACTGGTTGGCCCCTCTTCGTTCCTTTCTTTTCGTTGTTTCTGTGTGTGTCTGTCTTATTTTTCCCCAGGTGGGTGGTTGGCGGGTGCTCTGGTGTGGTTTGCTACTTCTTTCCTATCAAACATCTATCGTCCTTATCTCCCCTTCTCCTTTTTTATGTTTGTTACTCTCTTGTAACACCTCTAATCTTATGGCGCTCATATGACTTTATACAGTTGCGAGCGCCGAAAAACCTCTACTAAAAAAAAACTTTTTCCCCAGCACGAATTTAATGACCATTATCGTGTCGCTCGTCGCGCTTCTCATTATTCAAACAAGCAAAACGAAAGCCAAAACCTGTGGCATTTAGCGAACGTCTTGTAAAGACAGTGGTGGCTCTATTGATTGTCTGAATAATTCAGTAGCTCTCTGAATAGTCGTCTATTAAAAACCATAGTTATTGAAGTGGAAGTGAGTTATGACGTTTTGTTTTTGTTGACTGAGGTTTTTATTATCTGTAAGGGTTTGGTTTGGTTGGGTGGCGGGTGCTCTGGTGTGGTTTGTTCGTTTTTGCCTATCAAACAGCTGTCGTCTTTATATTCTCTCTTCCTCCGTGGGTGGTTGGCGGGTACTCTGATGTGGTTTGTACTTTTTAAATATTACTATCAAACGTCTGTCGTCCCTATCTTTCTTCTTTTTTGTTGTGTTTGTTTACTATCTTGTAACACCTCTACTCGTCGGCACTTATATTATCTAATTGTGTTGCTAGTGCCGTGAATTGCTGACTAGAGCAATATTTCTCCACATTCTTTTGTTTGATACTCTCTAGTAACACTTCTGATCTTCGGCTCTAATTTAACCTATTCCTGCATTGTCAGAGCTGTGAAACTGTAACTAAAGCTAAAAAAAAAGGAAAAGAAATATAACAATAACCTGCGTCTGTTTGTTTTTCTCTTAACAACGATGGGTTTGTTAACATTGAAAACTGGAACTAACGGGTATCCAACCCCTTCCCCCCCCCCCCATCCACCCCAACAAATAAAATCAACCCAAAACTCTGATGTGGTTTGTACTTTTTTTTATCAGGGCCAATTTAAAGGGCAGCAGCCTGCTGTGAGAAGTGAAAAACAACAACACAACCCCCCCCCCCTCCCCCAACTAAACTATTCCATTCTTTCTGTTCCTAAAACAGGAAAGCCTACTTGAGATATAATATACTGTGAGGTGTCAAACAATACATGTACTACTGAAACAAAACATTTCCATTCCTTCTGTTCCCAAAACAGGACAGCCTACTCAAATCCCAGCCACTACTTAAACAAGTACATTCTTTCTGTTACAAGAAAACAGGACAGCCTACTTGAGACATAAAAATCATTTACTTTCTGTTCCAAAAACAGGACAGCCTACTGTGAGAAGTAAAAACCCCCACACCACTTAGATCTAGGAACAATTCCATTCTTTCTGTTCCAAAGAAACTCTTCTTCTTTCCAATCAAACGTCTATCGTCATTATCTCCCCTTCTTCTTTTTTATGTTTGTTACTCTCTTGTAACACCTCTAATCTTCTGACGCTCATTTGACCGTTTGTAATTGCGAGCGCCGTAAAACCTCTACTAAAACTTAAAAAAAAAAAAATATTAGGAAAGCCTACTTTAGATATACTGTGAGGTGTAAGACAATACAACTTAATTAAACAATTCCATACTTTCTCTTCCAAAACAGGACAGCCTACTCAAATCCCAGCCACAAACCAACGGCCAGGACGAATATGGAGCCACCACCCCACACGCTGACGGAGACAGCGGCGGCGGGCCGGGCCACATGGGTTCCAGTCCCGCCAACGAGTCGGCCAGGGCGCGCGCCGAGCGACTGGCCAGTATAGAGGGTCACGGGTCCAGTGTGATGTCAGGCCACAACATCAACTATGCCGTGGACGTGAGACTCAAGCCTTGCTTCGGGGCGGTACAGAAGAAACACATTCTGAAGGATGTCAAGTGAGGCTGGTTTATTGGGTGGTGGTGGTGGTGGTTGTGGTGTTGGTAGTGATGATGATGATGGTGATGATGGGAAGAAATCTTCGAGCGAAAGCAAGGCTCTTTTGATGACGATGATGATGATGGTGATGATGGTGATGGTGGTAGTGATGGTTGTGGTGGTGATGATGATGATGGTGATGATGATGATGATGAAGATGATGATGATGATGATGATGATGAATATCCTGTCTAGAGATTTACTAAATGATGATAGTGATTATTATAATAATGTATGTTTCATGGATTGATTTTTTAAGAATTGTTTTTGCTGTTTTGTTATTTTTGTTGTTGTTGTTCTCCTCCTCCTCCTTCTTACTTCATAATGTCGAGATTAAATGAGTTGACACCTCCTCCCTCTCCCTCTCTCCCCCCTCTCTCTCTCCCCCCCCCCTCTCTCTCTCTCTCTCTCTCTCTCTCTCTCTCTCTCTCTCTCTCTTTCATTTTCTCTCTCTTTCTCTCTCTTGTAGTCTCTTTATCTTGTTTTATTTCACAGAACATGGAAACTTTAAGCCAATGTGCCTACTGGAATTAAACACGAGGAAAGATAAAATATTATAGTAGATACGGATTTTTTTTCTTGGCAGTCTTTGATGTATGTTCAAAAACTATCTTTTAAAATGATGGCATGTTCACCCTAACTGCAATCTCATATCAAGTGGATGGTTGGTGGGTGCTTTGGTGTGGTTTGCCTCTTCTTTTCTATCGTACATCTATTGTTCTTATCTCTCCCCCTCATTTTTAAAAATCTGTGTAAGTTACTCTGTCTCAAGTGACATCTCTAATCTTCGGCTTTTGTGTGGCCTATTTGTGTTGCAATTGCTGTAAAACTCTTACTAACTGAAGTTAAACAATCTTGTTCCCAGTGGTATCTTCAAGCCAGGCATGAATGCCATCCTAGGCCCTACTGGCAGCGGAAAGTCATCGTGAGTACTTAGATTAGTAGCCTGCTAAAGAGAATTTAATATCTTTATGCTTTGGTAAAAGAAGCAATCTCAGATGATTAGAGCTCTGGGCTTATGCTGTCTTGGGCTGTATTGTCTGCCGATTTTTGTGTCTCTTAAATGGTCGCTTTTAAGGACAAGCGGGCAAACCCAGATTTTGAGGGTTTCCTGAAATCTTGACCTGCACCAAAAGTGGGCATTGCCCTACGTATAGGAGAAGTTTGGTTTCTTTGGTGTGTATATTTGTTTGGTTATAGAGAAAACTCTCCCTTGTCTTTTAAAGAAACTGAGCAAGGGGCAAACACTTAACCTTCGATTTTTTCAAGTAGGCTGTCCTGTTTTCTTGTAACAGAAAGAATGTACTTGTTTAAGTAGTGGCTGGGATTTGAGTAGGCTGTCCTGTTTTGGGAACACAAAGAATGGAAATGTTTTGTTTTAGTAGCATTTTTCGGGATAGCCCTCTTGTGTTTAAAAACGACCAAATGTATGTGAGAGCAGCATTGCTCTGTAATGTTATGTTTAGATCAGAAACGACCCAAGGCAGGGATTCAAACAAGGGCCATCAAAGAGTACTGCTCAGAACTTATAACTATTTCCTGTTTGAAACTGCATATTCTAGAAAATTTTGACTTTGTAATTCATGACTCATATTGACTTTGGCTTCCATATCTTTTGTTAGTAGGTGCTTTTTTTTTTGGGGGGGGGGGGGGTGTGGAGGTTAAAATGATAGACCAAGTGTTAGTATTTAAATTACTAAAAGTACGTTTTACTTTTATGAGTCAAAAGAAAAGAAAGAACAACATTTGGTACCATGAATAAAAAGCGATGTGTTTGATGATGCTTGTAGCAATAATGCCAGAGAAGGAGACTAAGACTAATGGAATGTCTCCCGCCCCCCTCTCCCCCAGTGGGTGGTTTGCGGGTGGTCTGGTGTGGTTTGCTTCTTCTTTCCTACCTATCAAACATCGATCTTCTTTATCTATCTCCCCTCCTTCCTTTTTCGTGTTTGTTACTCTCTTGTAATGCCTCTAATCTTCAGCACTTATATGACCTTATCGTGTTGCAAGTGCCGTAAAACACTTACTAAAACTACCCCCCCCCGTCCCCAGGCTGCTGGATGTCCTGGCAGGGAGAAAAGAGCCTAAGGGTCTCACTGGGACCATTCTCCTGGATGGTCTTCCTCCCCCGCAGAACTTCAAGTGTATGGTCGGCTACGTGGTGCAGGTATCTACCCTGGCTTCTTTTCTTTTTCTTTTTTTTTCTTTCTTTTTTGAATTTTCCATTTTCTGTGCCGGTGTCTTTACATCCCCATCGACACAATTTAGACCCTTTGTTTAACACATTGGGATCACTTGGAGCAATAATGCGACAGTGGAAAATTATCCATTCCGGTCACCTGCTCCAGGCCCGAGAAGTCCGTTGCAGTCGCTCTCCTGGCTGGGTGACCAGATAGGGGGGTATTTTGTACTACTGGCTGGGTGACCAGATAGGGAGGTATTTTGTACTACTGGCTGGGTGACCAGATAGGGGGGTATTTTGTACTACTGGCTGGGTGACCAGATAGGGGGGTATTTTGTACTACTGGCTGGATGACCAGATAGGGGGGTATTTTGTACTACTGGCTGGGTGGCCAGATAGGGGGGTATTTTGTACTACTGGCTGGATGACCAGATAGGGGGGTATTTTGTACTACTGGCTGGATGACCAGATAGGGGGGTATTTTGTACTACTGGTTGTGTGACCAGATAGGGGGGTATTTTGTACTACTGGTTGTGTGACTGCAAAGTGTTCATGTCTGTTGTTCCTGTGAGTGCCCTTTTTGTATTATATGAACTGATACATCTCACATCTTTTTTTTTACTTCTTTCTGTTGCTTCTTCCTGTCTGTCTTTGCTTTTTCCCTGTTGTCCACGATCTTCTCATTACCAGAAATAAACAAATAAAGTGGGTGGTTGGCAGGTGCTCTGGTATGGTTTGCTTCCTTCTTTCCTATCAAACATTTACCTCCTTGTCTCTCCTCCTTCTTTCCTATCAAACATTTACCTCCTTGTCTCTCCTCCTTCTTTCCTATCAAACATTTACCTCCTTGTCTCTCCTCCTTCTTTTTTATGTACCATATTATAATGTCACTCTCTTGTAACTACTCTTTTCTTCGGCACATAGGACTTTATTGTGTTGCAAGTGCCGTAATATTCTTACGAACGCCCCCCCCCCACAACCCCCCCCCCCCAAATATTTTGTCCCCCTCAGGATGACGTGGTGATGGGGACACTGACCATCAGAGAGAACTTTGAGTTCTCTGCCAGACTCCGACTGCCCCGGTCAGTGACTGACGCCGAGCGGAAGGAGCGAGTGGACCAGGTCATTTATGAGCTTGGCCTCACTGAAGTGGCAGATTCCAAAGTAAGTCAAGGAAAAAATTAAACTGCTTCATTAGCCGGGTTGTGGTTCCTTTTTTTTCATTGTTCCCAGATATTTTCGTTATTTTCACTAGAAAAACATGTCACGTCGCGGTGGAATGGGGCGCGTGTCAATTTTTGCACATGGATGGCTATTGCTATCATTTTAAAGCTTGTTTATATGTCTTGCTTTCAGTGAAAAAAATATGCATCTATCATTAATAGAAGTGGAGATATTTGAGGGTGAGGGAGGTGGGGGTCACCTGATTTCTGAGATAAAATTAGCGATAAAATGACAGCCAAAGTTTGGTGAATTCCAAAGCTTAAGAGTCCTTAGAAACTGCAAATTGACAGTTTTGTGCCGTAAGTCAGCTTTTTTCCGTAAAATCAACTCTTGAATGTGTTTTTTTAATGGATCTTTAAGGTGTTGAGGCAAACAACAAGAATTCAATAAAAATTGCCAAACGGACAGAAAAATGAGTTTTTTCGATTTCATTATTTTGACGAGTGCCTCACATATTTTATTTTATACCTTTGTTTTTTGTTGAACCCCATGTTAGTTGTGTCGATATAGTGTCTTTTTGTTAGCAAATACAAATTCGTAAATTTTCAAATGTTTTCACAAAATTACAAGGCATACTTGAATACTACTAAATAATTTTGTGGGCTCCCCTGAAAAAGGACATTTTCACGTGAAGTGTGCTCTGGGGCTTATATGACCTTATGCAGTTGCGAGCGCCGTAAAACCTCTACTAAAACAAAGAGGTGTGCTCAGGCTTCTTCTTCAGCTGCTTTTTTCTGTATTTTGAATAGAGAAAGAGTTGTGGTTATTGGGGGGGGGGGGGGTACTGGTAGATTCTTGCTCTCTTCTTTCTTTCATTTGTTTCTGTCTGTCTTTCTTTCTTTTCCCCATCACTAAGTGGTGACTGTTACAGCGTCTTTGTACTTCTCTTATCTCTAAGAAGCAAACAACAACAAAAACAGACAGAGGGTTATCATATTTAACTACTTCTAATAGTGAAACAAATGTAGGCCTACCTAGATTCAAAGTCAGAACGTCAGAACAGCATGCAGTGTTTGTGTGTGGCTACATGAAGTACTCAAGAGTCTCAGCTTTTTAACTTTTTAAGCCCTGAGTTTTTTCCACCGTTTCCCCGGAGTTTTTTTTTACAGTCACCAAAACCTGATGCCCTATGTCTCATTATAACCCCAAAAGCTTGCCCCCAACTTCTATATAATATAGCAGAAACAAAGACTTCGTCATTACTAAAAATCTTGGTTTGGGAATAGTTCCGAAAAACAAACAAAAACTAGCACTAAAGAAAATGAAACAGTTGTGACTAGTGCTGGACGCTCCCGGCGTCTGATGGGGTTCAAAGAGCTAATGTAGCTTGTATTATATTACAAAAATGTCATGTATTATTTATTTTTGTTATCACTATTATTATTATTATTATTATTTTTTTAAATTTTTGTTGTTGTAGTATGGCTCTTTTCCTCTATGCAGACTGTCAATTTAGCTTAGATGGTCTCAAGGTTGTCTTCATGCAGCTTCTTCCATGGCTAATTCTTCCTATGTTTGAAGCGCAGATTCTGTCGCAGTGCATGCATGTCAGTGTCATAGATCGAAGCTCTCTATTTCCGCTGTTTTCCTTTTGTCGTTGGCGCTTCTCAGCCTGGTTGTTTCTAAGGCTGTTGTCTAGCATTTGAGTTCTTTCCTTTATAATTTTCCTCCATGTTTTCCGGTCCTCAGCTATTTCTTCTCAGATGTTAACATCTACTCCAAGCTTAGAGAAGCTGTTTTTGCAGGTGTCTTTGTACCTCAATTTTGGTCTTCCAAATGTTAATATTATTAATATTATTATCAGCATTATTACCAAACCTTGAATTCATCTTTCTCCTCTTCCATCTTTTTCTTCTGTTTCTGTGCAGGTCGGCAACGAGTTTATCCGAGGCGTGTCCGGCGGGGAGAGAAAGCGCTGTAACATCGGCATGGAGCTGATTATCTCCCCTCCCGTCCTGTTCCTGGACGAGCCCACCACCGGCCTGGACGCCAGCACGGCCAACGCCGTCATGATGCTGCTCAAGAAGTAGGTCATGGTTTACCCTTTTACTGCCATATAATTTAAAACAAGGTTTGGGGGGGCTCTTCGAGGCCTAGAGGTTAAGGTGTTTGCCTCTCTTTCAATAGGTCCCGGGTTCAAATCTGAATAGCAACGGAAATTTGTCTCCTTACACCTTCTTTCCTGTTCCAACACAATGTTCTGTTGTCAGTTTTCATCTCCACTTTCTGCCCCCACCCCCTCACCTCCTTTGCCCCCTCCTCTGGGCTCCTGACTCTTTCTGCAGTCTTTCTACCGCTACTCCTTACTGCTGTCTTTCAGCCACACCCCTGATCTTCTGGTAGGAATGATCTGCACATAGCCTTCTTGAATAGGGGCGAAAAATCCTGAAGGTGCCATGTACAAGTTGCGCTCGTTAAAGATCCCTTGGTGGTCCAAAATCAATAAGAGGCTTCGGCCGCCTCCTGAGCAAAATTCAACATTTTCCTATCTACTGAAAATGTTTAATGTGTCCTGAGCGCTCATATGATCTTATGCAGTTGTGAGCGTCGTAAAACAATTACAAAAAAAAAAAAGAAGCTTCCACTTTTTCACATAAGAGAACATCAATTTCATCAGATGTCATGATGCTGCTCAAGAAGTACTTTGTCATTAACCCCTTTTAGCTGCCACAAAACTTCATATCCTGAGGTTTCCGCATTTGACTTGAGAAAAGACCAACTTGATCAGATGTCATGATTTTGCTGAAGAAGTATGTTATGATTTACCCTTTTAACCGACACGTTAAACCATGGTATCCACTTTTCCACTTTTAGGAAAAGATCCACTTTATCCGATGTCATGCTGCTCAAGAAGTACGTTATGATTAACGATGTTAACCCTTTTACTGCCACATAATTTGACGAGAGGTTTCAATGTTTCACATGAAAAAAGATAAATTTCGTCAGGCAGCTGCTCCAACTGTTCAAAGCCCAGAAAATAATATATTTTTTTAGGAGAGAAATTGTTTCATTCTTATACAAATGGCACCTTCACTTTGTGGGGGGTGGTTTTCCTTCTTCTTTTCAAAATCTAGAATCTGAATCTTAACAAAATAATGTGTACCACTGAAAACACAGATTAAAAAACATTCACTGTGAAAAGTCAGACCGATGTATGCTGTCTCCTAAACTAAGTAACTTGTATAGATGGATCTGAAAAATGGTTTCAGTCATATCTTGGTCCATTTATGTGGAACAGATTACCCATGAAACTAAGACAAATAAGAACACATGATAGCTTCAAAAGACATCTGAAACATTTTCTGTTCCTACAGGCCTATCTTTCATAAGCTTTTAACGTTATCTTTCATTATAGTTGTTCTGTTCCTATGTCTGGATAAAAATAGTCTGTGTGTGTGTGTGTGTGTGTGTGTATGTGTGTGTGTGTGCATTAATGTATATTGCATGAGAAGAAAGGAAGTAGTAAGAAAAGTTTTTGAAAAATGGGTATTCCAATGTAAAGCGCATTGAGCTACTTTTTTGGAAATGCGCTATATAAATGTTATATATTATTATTATTATTATTATTATTCTTATAACTCATTGTCTACTTTTCCCTTCTCCAGACTGTCTCAGAGAGGCCGGAACATCATCTTCTCGATCCACCAGCCTCGTTACTCCATCTTCCGACTGTTTGACTCCATCATGCTTCTGTCTCACGGCGATGTCGTCTACCACGGCCGCTCCCAGGAAGCTCTCGACTATTTCTCCTCAATCGGTAAGTCAGGGTTTACATTTTGTAACTTGTCACTGCGCTAGCAAAATGGTGCACCTCATTTTTGCTACTTTTGAGAAAAATGGAAAAAACTGTTTAACTTTGAGGTCTCTTGGCGCAATAATGCGCTGATGAAAACAATCTATTCCGGTCACCTGGTGCTATTCTGCGTCAAGCCGGAGAAGTCCGTGTGCATCTTTCTCCTGGCTGGGTGACCAGATGGGGTATTTTGCACTGCTGGCTGTGTGACTGCAAAGTGTTAACTACACTATTTATTGTTTAATCGTGGTAAAATATGCCGTGCATGTTTCTTGCCACTGCATTTTTATTTTGACCTTACCAAAGAATAGAAGTAGTTCGCCAAACAAAATAATAGGCCAGAGCTAGTTGCATTTTGGCACAACTCTGAGTTATGTCATTTTGCTAACACCGTGATGATGTGCTGACTTGGTAAAAGCTTTTTGATTGAATTATTAAGTTTCAAAGCCCAAGTACCCCAGCCATAGTATTTTTATGGAATGGTAAAAAGAAAGTTCAACAGTTAAAATTAACAAAGTGAGAAATAGCTTTTCTTCCTGTAGGAATTGCAAACAGTTTTAATTTTGTGAAAATATTTTCCATATTTTGATGGAGATTATAAACTACATTGTATTTGTTGTCGATATCCAACTTTGCAGGTAATGTAAAACACTGTTTGGGGTTTGGGGGGGGGGGGGGGGGGTCGAATAGGCACCTATGTTTCTCAGTTTCTTACAAGTGAATGTACAGGAGAATTTAAAAGGCATATCAAGGATTAGGAAATATGTGGGCTGATGAATTCTGTGGAAGAAAATAATAACAAACAAACAAACCAAACAAAATGTTCTGACTTTCTGTATGGCAGACCTAATCTCTGCTCTTTCTGTGTTGCGTCAGGGAATAACAATGAGGAAAGTGAAGTGAAAGTTTCTTTTCACCCATAGTCCGTTCTGCTGCTTTTTCTTTCCCCATCCTTACTAGCGTCATTTTCCTCTACTTCTTTTGTATGTTTGTCACTCTCTTGTGAACTGCCATTTTTGGGGTGCTTTGATAGTCGAAGCGGACTTTGTGCGGTTGAGGCTAGAGAGGTGAGCAGAGTAAGCCTGATTCCCCGTTTGTACTTCTCTGTTGACATCCACCTCTTGGCGCTCATATGACCTTATGCAGTTGCGAGTGCTGTAAAACCTTACTAAAACAAACAAAAATAAACTCACTCCAACTGTTCTCTCTCTGTGTGTTTTGTCAGGGTATAGCAATGAGGAAAGTGAAGTGAAAGTTTCTTGTCACTCACACTCCAACTGTTCTCTCTCTCCGTGTTTTGTCAGGCTATGAGTGCGAACCTCACAACAACCCGCCCGACTTTTTCCTGGACATCATCAACGGTGACTCCACGGCCATCTCCAGCCAGTACCTGGAGGAGATGAAGTCCAAGCTCAACGCTGGCTCAGACAGTAATGGTGAGGACTAGTCTAGCTCAGAATTGGGGGGGGGGGGAGGGGGGGGGGTAGAGGAGAGATGATGTATGCCCTGCGGCATCCCCTTCCCCACACCCTCCACACATGTACACACACACACACACACACATACACACACACACACACGCACGCACACACACACACGCACGCACACGCATACACACACACGCACGCACACGTACACGCACACACGCACACGCACATGTACACACGCACCCCTTCCCCACACTCTCCGCACATATGCGCGTGCGCACACACACACACACACACGCGCACACACACTCATACATTCATTGTTTTAGTGAATTAAAGGTACAAGGGATGGATGGAGGTGGTGTTTGTTTGCGTGCCATTTCCAATTTTGTTAGCCAGGAGTGATGAATTTCCTGTTACCTTTTTCGGGGAGTCTCACCATGGTTTTATCCAGTTCTGCTGTTTTTGTTCCTTGGTCTTAGATAAGAAAGACCAGAACACTTCCCTGACATGTACGAGGTAAAAGGCATCATCTTGATAACAGAACTGCTTTTATAATCAGTTCATGTGAAGCTTTCTTTAAATTGTAAGTGATGGCACATTTACTTTTGTCCTCCACCTGGCAACATGATTAACCACTGTTTGAGCAAACTAGGTTCAAATCTCAAGACAGAGTTATTGTCAAACCTTTTATGTTAACTCTTGAAGTGTTGATGGTTGATTAAATCTACCGTTAGTTTCATTCTATGGTGCTGTGGCTGATTCAATCACCTGTAATTTGAATTGTCGTTCTAGTTTGTTAGAATCTTTATTAAAAGATATTGCCGACATTGAACCACCTTCATCTGAGCTCTCCTTCCTATTTCTATTCTTTCTGTTGTTGTTGTTGTTATCGATCCAGCAACAGCTGGGCTCTCGCCCTTCTGTCCAATGCCATGTAGTGATAAGTGCAGGTCTGCTGCAGTTGCTGTATTGTTCCATAGAGTGTGTTGTCAATGTTAGGTCTCGGAGGGAGAAGGGTAATTCTTTCTGAAAATGTATAGGTTTGTGGCCTCTATTTGCTGGGTTTCCTTTTCTCAAACATTTTTCAACGTAATTTGATGACATCATATAATTTCCCTTGACACCAGGAGCTATTTATTAACAGCACTTCACTATGGGGGGGGCGGGCGGGGGGGGGGGGGGGGGGGGCAGTATATAAAATCTATTGTTTTCAATGCTGTTTGAGGTGACACTGGTTTGTTTATTGTGTTCTCAACATGAAAAGTCCTGACTTGGATGTGTTTCTTTGCTATTTCAGGTACTGCCAAAGAGACGCATGTGGAGTTGGAAGGTACGTAGAAATTACGGGGGAAATAATTTTATTTCTAAACACTTTGCTGTCACTTGGCGCAATAATGCACGGGTGATAATTGTGAGGCAGCGTGGTGGAATCAGGCTCTCGTCAATTTTTGGGAATATAGAGTTATTGGTATCATCTTAAAGCTTGTTCGCTTGTCTTTATTTGCATGGAAAAAATATCCATTTATCTTGAATACATGTTGAGATATTTGTGAATGCAGAATGTGGGGGTAACCTGTTTTCAGAGGTAAAATTAGTGAGAAAATAGCCGCCAAAGATTAGTTATTTCCTTAGCTTAAGAGTCCGCGGTAACTGAAAATTTACATTTTGTTTTGCCTTTAATCAACTTTTTTCAGAAAAATCCAAACAGAAATGAGTTCTTTAATGGGAATAAAATGTTGAGCCAAAAAACAAAAATTTGATAAAAATTCACAAACCTGCGGAAAAATGCAAGTTTATTCACTTTAATTATTTTGACGTGAGCCTGATTCCACCACGCTGCCTCACATTTTATTTTTAAACACTTTGCTGTCGCTTGGCGCAATAATGCACTGGTGAAAATGATCTGTTCCGTTCCCCTGGCGCACTTCTGCACCAGGCCCGAGAAGTCCGTTGCAGTCGCTCTCATGGCTGGTTGACCACATGGGGTATTTTGTACTGCTGTCTGTGTGACTGCAAAGTGTTAATAGCTACAGATATTTTGGCGTCTAAGTCCTATCAAGAGTCTTATTTCTCTGACATAATTTACATCTTGGTGTGAATCTGATTTTTTTGCCCGTGAGCTATTAATGTCGTAGCAAGAAATTTTAGTGCTCTTTCTGGTAAATAATGATGTAATTATTATCGATGGTGTTTATTGTAAACTGACTCAGTGGATGGTTGGTTGGTGCTGTGTATGCTGCGACAAAGTGGTTCAAAGTCTCTGCCCCCACCCCACTACCACAACCACTGCCCCCCACTATTGTAATGAAATTTTCTACTTTTTGTTTGTTTTCTTGTTTTCCGCAGAGACTACAGCATTGAAGGATCACTACTTGCAGTCGGCCTGGCGCAAAAAGTAAGCTCTTTTTGTCAATGTATTGGGTATCTTTTTTCCTTTATATTTTGTTCCAGCTATATTTTATTTTTATAGAGGCTTTTAAAAATATTTTGGGTACTGCTTACATTGAAATCCAAATTTATTTTTCTTTTCCCAATTGTTTTGCGTTTTCTGTCCTTACGTCCATCTTCTCTAATTCCTCTCTCTCTTTTAAGTGGTTGGAGGATGCCACTGGTAGGTCTAACTTCTTTTCCTTGCCTCTGTTGTTTTGGACTGTCTGTCTGACTCATTCCTCGAGCCAAATGACCGCAATTGTATGGATCTTCTTCTCTTCACTTGATCATGTGGGAGGTTGGCTGGTGCTGTGGTGGTGTGATTTGTTCTTTCTTTCCTATCAAACATCTGCCTTCCTTATTTCATGCGTGATTGGGGGCTGCTGTGGTGTGATTTGTTCTTTCTTTCCTAGCAAACATCTGCCTTTCTTATTTCATGCGTGATTGGGGGGTGCTGTGGTGTGATTTGTTCTTTCTTTCCTAGCAAACATCTGCCTTCCTTATTTCATGGGTGATTGGGGGGTGCTCTGGTGTGATTTGTTCTTTCTTTCCTAGCAAACATCTGCCTTCCTTATTTCATGCGTGATTGGGGGGTGCTCTGGTGTGGTTTGCTTCTTCTTTCCTACCATACATCTGTTGTGTTTGTCTCCCCTGTTTTTCTGTGTTTGTTACTCTCTTATTGTAACATGTCATCTCTTCGGCACTTGCATAACCTGATTGTGTTGCAAGTGCTGTAAAACTCATAGTCGTAGGTGGTTGACGGGTGGTTTGGTGTGGTTTGCTCCTTCTTTCCTATCAAATATCTGTCGTCCTTATCTCCCCTCCTTCTTTCTTGTGTATGTTACTCTCTTGCAACACGTAATCTATTCTTCGGCACGTATATGACCGTGGGTGGTTGGCAGGTGCTCTGGTGTGGTTTGCTTCTTCTTTCCTATCAAACATCCCCTTCTTCTTTTTTATGTTTGTTACTCTCTTGTAACACCTCTAATCTTCTGGCGCTCATATGACCTGATGCAGTTGCGAGCGCCGTGAAACCTCTACTAAAACTAAAATTAATTATATGACCTAATTATGTTGCAAGTGCAGTAAAACTCTTACTAAAACTAAAAACTCATACTAAAACTAAATTTTAAAAAGTGTCTCGTCTGTTTCCCTTTTTTCTCAGAGTTCAGGATGAGCTTGACCCCATCCTGGAGACCTACCACCGGGAAGGTCAGACAGTGCAGGTCAGGGCCATCAGCTACAAGTCTTCTTTCGGCACACAGGTAACCACAACTCCCAAGTTTTTCTCTCTTTTTTGGATTTCCTAAAATTGTTTGATTTTTGCCCGGCTTCAGGCCAATCATTGGGAAGTTGTTGCACTCTATTTTATTAAAGTCTTGGCACGAGATGTATTAAATAAAATGACCCTTAAATTGTGAGCCCTCATGCATGTGTTTCCAATGGGTCTTTAACACTTTGTGGTCACTTGGTGCAATAATGCTTCTGTGAAAATGATCCATTCCGGTCACCTGGCGCAGTTCTGCACCAGGCCCGAGAGGTCTGTTGCAGTCGCTCTCCCGGCTGGGTTGTCAGATGGGGTATTTTGTACTGCTGGCTGTGTGACTGCAAAGTGTTAACCTTGTGTATTTTCCTTTGTGGCTAGTTGCCACTTCTGATTTCAACCCTTTCTGTCTTGGTAAGTATGGGCTCAGTGTGATTATTCAGTCTGGCACAACACTGGAAGAGGTGAGTAAAGTATATACCTCAGATAGGAATCGAACCAACATCTTTTACATGTGAGGTGAAGGGCCTGTACATTTCACAAAAATATTCAAGTCCTCATCCTAAGACCTGCTTGTGGGTGGTTGGCGGGTGCTCTGGTGTGGTTTGCTTCTTCTTTCCTATCAAACGTCTATCGTCTTTATCTCCCCTCCTTCTTTTTGTTTGTTTGTTACTCTCTTGTAACACCTCTAATCTTCAGCACTTATATGACCTCATTGTGTTGCAAGCGCCGTAAAACACTTACTAAAACTAAAAGACCTGCTTGTTGGTTTATCACCGATGCCAGTTTCTGATCTGGCACTCCACGGTGATGATGAGACTGGGACAAAGTGTTAGACAGTCTGTAGATCATAAAAAAATGAAACTGGCTGAGATTCTTTTACTTTTTCTTTGTAGTACATAATGCATGCAAACATTTCCCTGATTTATTTTGTATTTATTCATTTGTTTCAGCTTGTAACAGTGTCTGGGAGAGCTCTAAAGAATCTGATCAGGAACCCTCAGGCATCTATTATGCAGGTATGTATGTGTTTTTGGTGGGGGTTTTTTTTGGGGGGGGGGGGGGGCGGTATTTTATTGTTGTATCTAACTCTGAAGATGCATGAGATGATCCTTGCTTTTTAAACAATTCCTACAAATCATTCAGGATACAAATTTACATTAACTCCCTGTCTTTGGCAAGCCTCTTCCAAATGAAAATGAAATGGGAGACAAAACACCTTTCTCCTCAACAGTGGGTTGCAGTCTTGGACAGGTTTGATTGTATTTCTATCTCTTGTCTAAGATATTAAACTTATGCAAATGCTCCAAAATAATTTTCCGAAGCTGATCTGATGTCGTCTGTTTTTGTTCCAGTTTGTCATCGTTGCTCTGTTTGCTGCCATCGTGGGGGGCGTGTACTTCCAGATTGACCACTCCCTCAAGTCTGGCATACAGAACCGGTGAGTGGGTGGTTGGCGGGTGATCTGCTGTGGTTTTCTTCTTCCCGTCCTATCAAACATACACCTATCATCATTATCTAGCCTTCTTATCTTTGTATTTTACTCTTTTGTAACGTTTCTAGTCTTTGAATCTTTGACACTTAATTGACCTAATTGAGTTGCAAGTGCCATAAAACATGTCCCCCAAAAAAGTTATGAGTGTTCTTATAAATTAATTATTTCTGACCTGTGTCATAATGTGTAATGGAGGCAGATGGCAGATGTTCTGGGGTGTTTTTTTCTTTCTTGTCAAACATCTATCTTCCTGATCTCACCTTTTTCCTTGTGTTTGTTACTCTCTTGTAACACTTACAATCTTCAGCCTTAATATGACTCTAATTGTCTACCTTGTAATTTAATCCATTATATTCTTGTCTGTTCCAGAGTCGGTGCCTTTTTCTTCATCATCATGAATCAAGTATTTGGCAACATGTCTGCTGTAGAACTCTTCATCAAAGAAAGAGCAATCTTCATGTGAGTAATGAGATAGTGATATTCAGAAGCAGCCAACACAGTAATCAGAAAAGAGGTCTGTTTCTGGTCTTTGTTTGATTTAACAACTTAACAATTTAACACTTGCCAGACTGTAATGTTTTGGACACCTCTTATTTGTGGCGTCGGTGGCCTAGTGGTTAGGCTCTCGGACTCGCAACCGTAAGGTCGTGGGTTGAATCCCGTCAGGGACCCGACGTTGTGTCCTTGGGAAAGGCACTTTGCACAAATTTTCCTCACTTCACCCAGGTGGAAATGGGTACCTGGCTATAGACAGTGAACGATCTTGTCAGTTTGATAGTGTTTGAGCGCGTGAAATCCGCAACTTGCACTGTATGCTTCCGCGGAAGCTGAGAATGTTTCTGAGTGTTCTCAGAGGGTCTGCTGGGGTAATAATAGTTGTAAAGCGCATGGAGCATGCTCTTGAGCATGGATATGCGCTATATAAATGCAATTATTATTAATTATTATTTATTATTGTGATCAGGAACAATTGATCATCCCTCAAGTTCTTTTTCATGTATCCAGTTACATCATGTGTGGTAAAAATGAAAAGCTTATGACCTAAATAAATGATGGAAGAGGCTAGCCGTACCGTACTTATTCTTAATATGATGGCTAGACTGACCATTTACAAAAAATAGGCCTACTGAATTGTAAATATACATTTTTAGTGTGCAGTACCTAAAGTATTTGTATTTGAGACGAAACCAGGTGCCTTAATGACAGTGCATGTATTTTATACCTCCTGTTTTCTAATGTTAATAGGGCCTAAGATAAGTACGGCTAGACTGTCCGTACTTAAGGACGGCTAGACTGTCAGGCTAACTGTACTTAATATTGATGGCTGAATTGTAAATGAAATTTTTAGTTTGCAATGCCAAAAGTATTAGTATTTTGGACAAAACCAAAAGGTGCCTTACTGACTTGCATGTATTTGAACCTGAATAATTACTAGATCTAGATCTAATGAGACCTGTGTACTTAACAGGCTTGAGTCGATAGGGTCAAACCTAGAGATCTAAGTACGGCTAGCCACTTCGATAAATGATACCCAATAATTTTTTAAAAAGTTTTTAAGATCATATGTTGCAGACTGAATGATTTTAACTTGCTCTTTTCGACTACTGGGCAAAACATTCTTGTTTTTGGGGACGTTCGTATAAACATTTAATGCCCTTTCACACAGTGTTTTACGCTTTCTTTGTATGTAAAAGAAGTTTCTTTTTGTCTACTGATGACCTTAATGTGCTAGTTGGAATGTGCAGGTTCAATAGATATTTGATGAATTTTAGGAAGGCATATTATCATTACCCTATTTCCTGGCTGATACACCTGTTTATTTACAGTAAACAATTCTTTTTTACTTCAGGCATGAGAACGTGAGTGGTTTCTACCGTGTGTCTGCGTTCTTCTTGGCCAAAGTGTTCTGTGACGTCGTCCCTATGAGGTTCATTCCTTCCTTCATCTTTTCCTGCATCGCATACTGGATGATTGGTAAGTGTATCATCTGTCACTTTCTTTCCTTTGAGTAAATTAACTCTGACCTATTCTTAGCCAGGTGAACACATGTGGGAGGTTGGTGGGTGGGTGCTCTAGTGTGATTTGCTCCTTCTTTTCTATCAAACATCTATTGTCCTTATATGTCTTCTTGTATTGTCATGTACTATTTATTGTATTATGTATGAAAGTGTGAAACAAATCATTACTAAAGATGGGTGGTTGGTGGGTACTCTGATGTGGTTTGTGGCTTCTTTCCTATCAAACGACTATCATCGTCAACTCTCCTTCGTTTTTGTTGTTGTATGTTTTTCTATAGCAGGTATACCTCTAATCTTCATCCCTTGTATGACATACTTGGGTTGCAAGTACCCCAGAACTTTCTAAATCTGTAACTGACCGAAGTCAGCGTATAATAATCTTTTTGTGTGTGTGTGTGTTTGTTGGAAGGGCCATAAAACTCCTTTAAAAAAAAAATGAAACTAAGTGGGTGATTGGCGGGTGCTCTGGTGTGGTTTGCTTCTGTTTTCCTATCAAACATTTATCATCCTTATCTCCCCTTCTTCTTTTTGATGTTTGTTACTCTCTTGTAATGCCTCTAATCTCCTGGCGCTCATATGACCTTATACAGTTGCGAGAGCCGTAAAACCTCTACTAAAACTAAAAAACTGAAACTAAGATCATTATGTAGCAATCTTTTTTTGTTTGTTCTGTTCTGTTCCCCAGGTCTACGAGACGGTGCGGACTATTTCTTTTTCTTCGCTCTGACCCTGTTCCTGACGGCCCTGTCAGCGTCCGCCATGTCGTTCTTCATCAGCTCCTCCGTGCGCATCATGGCAATGGCCAACCTCTTCCTGGCTCTCTGCTATGTCTTCATGATGGTGAGTTGATCCTTACAGGGTGTGGAGAAGAAGAAGATGGAGTGGAGGGTGAGGTGGGGATGAGGTAAAGTGGGGATTGAGCTCTTTTTAAAAAAAAAGTGTGCTGGGAATTTGGATTTTTACAAAAGTAAGTGTGGTGGGGATCCGGCTTTTTTTTGTTTTACCTGGTGAGGCGAGGATTGAGTTTTTTAAGAAAGTAAGTGAGGCGAGGATTGAGTTTTTTAAGAAAGTAAGTGAGGCGGGGATTGAGTTTTTTAAGAAAGTAAGTGAGGCGGGGATTGAGTTTTTTTAGAAAGTAAGTGAGGCGGGGATTGAGTTTTTTAAGAAAGTAAGTGAGGCGGGGATTGAGTTTTTTAAGAAAGTAAGTGAGGCGGTGATTGAGTTTTTTAAGAAAGTAAGTGAGGCGGGGATTGAGTTTTTTAAGAAAGTAAGTGAGGCGGGGATTGAGTTTTTTAAGAAAGTAAGTGAGGTGGGGATTGAGTTTTTTAAGAAAGTAAGTGAGGTGGGGATTGAGTTTTTTTAGAAAGTAAGTGAGGTGGGGATTGGACTATATTTTTCAGTAATGGAGGTGTTTTTACACCCCCATCCACACAATTTAGATCACTGAGTTTGCGGGCTTCCAGCTGTCAGGGCTAACTCGAGCTGAGAGGGATACAACATCTCATCGGAGAGTCTGAGAAACTGGATTAAAGTTTCTCTTTATTCGGGAATAGAACTCGAGTCTCATGCATGCGATATCGAAGTGCCCAGCCACTACACCACAGATGTCAGTGATTGAGCTCTGACTCGTTAACTCATTAACTCTTTATCTCTGGCAAAATCGTCACTAAATTGGTCATTAAATCAAAACATGTGAACCTATTTGGATACTTCTGAATCTAATAAATGAAATCCCGATAAAAGAGACCTGTTTTCGGCAACTGCAGAAAAATAATTTAATGTTGAAGTTGTCATAAAGGAATGTGCCCGGGCTGCTGTCAGCGGCTCACTGGCACAGTGGTTCTGACTGCGAGCCGCTGGAAATGGCTTGATGGAGATAAAGAGTTAATTTAAAGTAAATGAACACAACGGGGTGGGGGAGGGGGGCAGAGTCATATGATCTGTTACAGTCAAACTTGCTCTAACAATCACCTGTACAAACGACCACGTCGTATTTCCTTCCTTGTAGTTCTTTACTCTGTTGTAGTGACATTCTCTCGTGTGATTCTTATCATGTTTCTTCTGCTTAAGAAATGACTTATGTTATCATGTTTTTTTCTGCTTAAGAAATGACTTATGTTATCATGTTTTTTTCTGCTTAAGAAATGACTTATGTTATCATGTTTTTTCCTGCTTAAGAAATGACTTATGTTATCATGTTTTTTTCTGCTTAAGAAATGACTTATGTTATCATGTTTTTTCTGCTTAAGAAATGACTTATGTTATAATGTTTCTCTTGCTTAAGAAATGACTTATGTTATAATAAGTTATATAACGTCTCTTTAACGTGGACCGTCAGTTAGCTCATACTCATCATGTTTCTGTCTGTCTGTGTGTCCCCCACCACAGCTGTTCAGCGGCCTGCTCATCAACGTCAGTGACCTGGGAGACTGGATCAGCTGGATCAAATACTTCAGTATATTCCGGTTTGGTCTTAACGTAAGTTGGTTAGTTGTTTGGTTAGTTGTTTGGTTAGTTGTTTGGTTAGTTGTCTGGGTAGTTGTTTGGTTAGTTGTTTGGTTAGTTGTTTGGGTAGTTGTTTGGTTAGTTGTTTGGTTAGTTGTTTGGGTAGTTGTTTGGTTAGTTGTTTGGGTAGTTGTTTGGTCAGTTGTTTGGTTAGTTGTTTGGTCAGTTGTTTGGTCAGTTGTTTGGTCAGTTGTTTGGTCAGTTGTTTGGTCAGTTGTTTGGTCTACAGGTATTTGTTGTTTGGTCTACAGGTATTTGTTGTTCCTCAGGCATTTAGTTTTAGTTACTATTATTATCATCGTCTTTGTTGTCATTGTCATCATGATTGTCAGCATCATCATCACCATCATCATCGTCGTCATCGTTGTCGCCATCATCGTCGTCATCATCATCATATTATTATTCATCATCATCACCATCAAGTGCCAGATTTGCAACAGACAATGGCGATCATTGTTCTCCATTCATTCCTTTGCTCGAATGCTCTCAAAATACCTACATTATCTTTATGATTTGTCCCCATCACCCATCTCACGACCTCAGTGCTTTCTTGTCGTATCTCCATTTTTTTTTACATTAAAAATGTGACTTCTTCTTAATGTTTTCACTGTTTAAAAAAACTGGAAGTACAAGAAGAAATCACTGAGGTCGCGATCTGTTGTGGCTCTCAAAGTAGGTTGCTTTGGGTCTGCCCCTGCTTTGTTTGCCTTCAGCTTTGCCAGTGAGAGATAGATTTTCAAAGTCTTTATGTCTGTTCAAGTGTTCCAGAATCTTTAAAAAGATTATTGAGAAAGATATGCGAGGGGGCATTTATCCACAAGAGCTGTAAACTCTGCAATATAATAATTATAGCTGTAAATTGCAAATAGAAGAATGGTAAATTTTCTGTGTTATGGTTTTCTGTTTAAACCCATATGAATAGTGTCTATTAAAACATGTCCATTTTTTTTCAAATGCAACCTTCTAAATTTTCAGGTATTTTCTGAAAATCTCAGTGGCATCCCTTCATTTTCACGTCTTTGAATATGTGTATTTGGTCGGTTGGCGGGTGTTCTGATGTGGCTTTCTCCTTCTTTTCTCTCACACATCTTTCGTCCTTGACTCTACTTATTTTTGTTTGTTACTCTCTTGTAACACTTCTAATCTTCGGCACTTATATAACCTAAGTGTGTCGCAAGTGCTGTAAAACTCTTATAAATCCTAAAATTCTTCTCTCAGACTCCAATTCCATTCTCCGTGTGAAAAAGTTTCTTTATCCTCCCCAGGCTCTAAATGTGAATGAGCTGAAAGGTCAGAGGTTCTGCGATAATTCCACGTCATGGTAAGCTTCCAGTTTAGTTTTAGTAGACGTTTTACGGCGCTCGCAACTGCATAGGGTCATATGAGCACCCGAAGATTAGAGGTGTTACAAGAGAGTAACAAACATAAAAAAGAAGGAGGGGAGATAAGAACGATAGGTGTTTGATAGGAAAGAAGAAGCAAACCACACTAGAGCACCCGCCAGCCACCCACGGTAAACTTCCAGCTTGTTCTGTCATGGGTAAAAGTGTTTCTCACAGAATCAGTGAACCAGCATCTGTGGTGTAGCGGTTAGGCACTTCTCTGTCGCATGCAGAAGACTCGGGTTTGATTAAAACTGTCTTTACCCCCCCCACCCACCCCCCACCCCCAGGGCGGTGCTACTGACTGAAGTGTTTCATCAATGTCATGTTCATAACTGTGCCTGAACTGCACTACAACAGGGAACTGCTGCTTTTATCGTCATTTTTCCTGTACTTCTCTTGTATGTTTGTCACACTCTTGTGACCCGGTATTTCCGGGCACTGTGGTTGCATGCTGCAAGCTACCCCTTAACTAAACATAACAGTGAGGATTTATGATGTTGTCAAGGTGTTTCAGTATAGCAGGTAAAAACTTTCGGGTATTTCCAGCCCGGCCATTTTTGTGCACTCCCTAACCCCAGTCCCAGCCAATACAGCAGTATTTCAGAACAAGAGGCTTGAATTGTAAACATTGATGTAGTATCTTTGTAATGATGTTTAGATAATAATTAGTAACATAGTTTATTGCTAATTGAAAAATTATTCTGAGAATTAAAGTTTCATTAGGTTCACTAATTTAGAAAAATGCGCAAATTCGGTACACTTTCCCTCCCCCATCCCCCCCCCCCCCAAAACTGAGAATAAATACTTTTGGGACGGTGGGAGGTACAAGCGCTGCTGAAAATATACGTATATATGTGCATTGGTCTGGAAGGGTAAAGTGAGGAGAAATTTTTTTGAAGTATCTCTTGTCTTTCTGCTGGGATGATGTTGTATCCCTCTCAGCATGGGCTGGCCCTAACAGGCAGAGCAGGAGGGTGGGAAGCTAGCCTAAAAACACCAGCTTCAAATATATAAGAATCAGTGAGTGGTTAGTGAAAGCCGGTGCCTGCGGTCTAACAGTGAGGGTGTTCATTGTTGCATACAGAAGACCTGGGTTCGATTCTTGTTTGGAAAGTTTTTATGTCAAGTATCTCCATCTATCTGCTAGGACTTTGTGTTCCTCCCTCCAAGTCCTGGTCAATCAACCCTATCCGTACGCCCTGCCTGGGGTCATTTTGTACCCCTGGGGTTGTATTCTTCACATATAAGAATACTTCTAGTATGAAGATCTCTTCAGTATTTCTCAAAAAATCATTTTGACAGACTGGACTGCTGTGCAAAGCGTATGGATCGGATTAACGAGTAAATTTCCTCTTCGGAAGTGTTGGAGTCCCACGTCGTATTGATATGATAGTAAAACATGACGTACGGATAGGGTTAAGGAATGAAACATTGAAAATTACAGTTTCTTTTCATTTAGTCAAGGGACGTTCTGATAAAGTCTTCTCGTTTTATTTCTTTTTTTTGTCAGTTTTTCTCATCCTTGATTGCTTCGTATTGAATTATGAAGGGCACTGTGGTCTAAACTACCTCTCAATTTAACGTAACAGTGAGGATTTATGTTGTCAAGATGTTTCAGTATAGCAAGTGAAAACTTTCTTTTTTAAATTGGGTTTGGAGCATGTGGTTGGAGGGAGGGAGTGAGAGAGAGAGAGAGAGAGAGAGAGAGAGAGAGAGAGAGAGAGAGAGAGAGAGAGAGAGAGAGAGAGAGAGAGAGAGAGAGTATTTGAACTATGCTCTTTGTATTATTGTAAAAAGCTTTGAGCACTTTCTAAGTGGAAATGTATTTTACCTAAATTAAATATAAAATAATAATCTTCTTCTTCTTCTTCTTCTTCTTCTTCTTCTTCTTCTTCTTCTTCTCCTTCTCCTTCTCCTTCTCCTTCTCCTTCTCCTTCTCCTTCTCCTTCTCCTTCTCCTTCTCCTTCTTATGATGATGATGATGATTACTGCAATTATCACAATTATTACTATTTTTGCTATTATTTTGATGATTACTGCAATTATCACAATTATTACTATTTTTGCTATTATTTTAAAATACTTGTGTACCTTTAAAAATTCTCAGCACCTCTGGAGTAACGTAATGGCCCTGGGACTCATCACCGTCGTCTTCATGATTCTCGGCTACGTCCAGCTGCGAAGGCTCAAGAAACTCAAGTAGAGAAAACGAGAGCAAGTAGAGAAAACGAGAGCAAGTAGAGAAAACGAGAGCAAGTAGAGAAAACGAGAGCAAGTAGAGAAAACGAGAGCAGCTCAAGAAAAACTTAGCGAAAAAGAAAAATGAGAAGCCGTTTGTGAAATTATTATTGAGATCTATAATGTGTGTGACTTGGATTAGCTGAGGAATTTTCTGACACAGTACAGAAGGCTCAAGGAATTCAAGTAGAGAAAATAAGAGCAACTCTAGAAAAACTTCAGAAAGAAAGATGGAAGCTGTTTATGTTATATGTAACATTGATCCGTTGGATATGAAGTGAAATTTTCTGACAGAATACAGACGGTGCCTAAGTATTATGAAGAAGTGTGGTGAAGGAAGAGAGATAATGGCGGGGGGGAAAGAAAGCATTAAGACACAAGTAATGTACTGTCCTGTGTTTGTCGGGTCATTCATAACAGTGGATGTATCTTCAATGCTTTGGAAGAAAAAAACCCAGTAGCCTTTAATAAGATAGGAGCAGCATTAGTTCTAAAGGGCTGGTGTGTAACGCGCTTAATTAAGAAAAGTGCAATTAAAAAAATTTTTTTTTGAGAATGTGGATTAGATACTGCAATTTGGATAAGTTTGTTTACAGATTTTCTCCACAGAAAATGTTCTCATCTCTGGTCGTAAAGAGAGCACGCACTTATGGACAACAATTTTGGAGGATTGGATCAAATTGTGTCATATTGGCAGCTTTTGTTTCTTTATAAAGGAAAAAATCTTGTGGCCTCCAATTGTATCAAAGGTATCAAATAAACAATGGGTGCTGAGTATAGGGACAATTTGCTCGACAAATTCACTTTTGAAAGGTTCAGTTTTGTGGACCAGTGTGTCTGTCCTGTGCCATAGCCTTCATTCCTTGATAATTATAGCAAGTATTGTCCAAGAATTCACTTGCCACACTCAATCAGGTAATGGCATACTGATTGATATCTCTTTGTGCTCGGCTGGATATTTTCAGCTATTTTTAAAGACGTCAGTATTTATTTTTTGCATGAGAAAAGAAGTTGCTAATGCATGATGTATTTTTTACTTGTTTCATTGTTTAATTATGTGCTTGGATGGTGGAGCAGGAGCTTATGGAACTTGGTCACCAAGCTCATGAAGTGTCATTGTCAATTTTGGGTCACTTTAACACTTTGCAGTCACACAGCCAGTAGTACAAAATACCCCCATCTGGTCACACAGCCAGCAGAGTGACTGCAATGGACTTCTCGGTCCTGGCCTGGTGCAGAACTGTGCTAGGTGACCGGAATGGATAATTTTCACAGTCGCATTATTTCGCCAAGTGACCGCAAAGTGTTAAGCATGCAGTCGATATTGTTCAAGACGGCCACCCATTGTGGAGGAGTAAAGTGGTTGTCCTAGGCAGCTGGTGGTCTTACACAGTGCTATTATAATGGGAAAAAAAAAACACACACACAAGGGAGTGCTTTAACACTTTACCATCATATTTTGCGGAAAATCCAAAGAAACTGGGATGTAAAAATCACGAGATGAGGTGGCAAAGTGTTTAGACAACATATGTATGTGTTGTTTCTATTCCCTCTTTGAGAACGTATCAGGCACATATAGTATAACACGGATAACTCGAATTCGCCGGGACCGGCCCTGGGAGTAGTCGGAGAGATTTGTAGTTCGAGGGATATCTTACAAAGATAAAGAAGAAGAAAAAATCAAATGGAACCCCAGGCACAGTTTGACGGATACAGGGTTTCGAGTTTCCCGTGTTCGATCTATTCGTGTTATACTGTACGACCAATCGGCAGCAGAGCAAAAGAAATAGTGCAGCACATCTCGGACCATTATACACAAATCGGAATGTCAATTGGCATATTTCATTGAATGGATGTTGTTGCTTGCTTTTTTAACTCTTTAAACCCTGAATTTTTTCAACAGTTTCCCGGAGATTTTACTAGTCACCTAAGCCTAGTTCACCGGCACTATGTCTCATTATAACCCCAAAAGCTTGCCTCCAACTTCTAAATGGTGGAAACCAAAGTTTAGTCTTTACCACCGAAAAACTTGGTTCGGGAATATTTCCTACAAAATTAGCAAAAATGAGCACTAAATAAAACGCAACTGGTGTCACAAGGGAACAGGGTTATTACCGCCAGACACTCCCAGCATTTGATGAGGTTAAAAGAATTATATAAGTTTCAAATGATGAAAATACAATTGAAATATCTGTATAAATGACGAAAAGCATTCTTCATTTTTAGAAGTGCCCCAGAACAGCTTGTCTTCATTGTCGAATGACCAGCGTGCGTGTCTTCATTGAGTTAATGTTTAGTCTTCATCGTGAGAAGCCACTGTGATAGAGGGAAGATTCTACTGTCATATCACTTTTCTCTCTGTGATTTACTGTCTAAATTGTCCAAGACGGCCACTCACTATCGAGGTGAAAAGTGGTTGTCTTTGACAAGTGGACGTCTTAGTATTAACATGTGAAACGAAGTGGTGGAATCAAGCGCTCATCAATTTTTGGGCATGTGGAGTTATTGGTATAATCTTACAGCTTGTTCAGTTACTTGCTACTGATGAAAAAAATGCCCATCTATCTTGAATAGAAGTCATGGTGCTTACGATTGAAGGAGGTGGGGTCGCCTGGTTTCAGTGGTAAAATTTGTGAGAAAATGGCTGCCAAAGTTTGGTAACTTCGATAGCTTCAGAGTCCTTGAAAACTGAAAAATGACTTATTTTGTGGCTTTAATCAACATTTTTCAGTAAAACTCACATGGGAACATGATTTGAAATGGATATACAAGGTGTTGAGTCAAAATACAAAAATTTGATAAAAATTGCCAAACTGGCAGAAAAATGCCTGTTTCTTGGATTTCATCATTTTGAGAAGCGCCTGATTTCACCCCGATGCCTCTCATATCACTTTTTGCTCAGCGAATTACAGTCGAAATTGTCCAATACGGCCTCCCACTATCGAGGTGAAAAGAGGTTGTCTTTGACAGGTAGATGTCGTAGACAGTATCAATGTAATGTAAAAAAAACACAAGGGGGGGAATGGAAAGTGGATATCTTTACTGGTGATTGTCAGGTGGCTGTTGGAGCAGATTTGACTCAATGTATTTTGACTCTCTGAACTTCCTATAGACACTTCATTATGATCTCCGTCATGGAAAAGTGCTCTGTGTATGCTAATTGCTTTTCCTATCGTTCGAGTAAAATCTGTAAAACAGTGCAATATGTTAAGTATGTTTTTTCGTTTTTTGTTGGGTTTTTTTGTGGGAAGAGATTCCCATATGAGCAGTTTTTCAGAAGCCTTTTAGAAGGCATGCTATCTGCTTTGATTGCCTACCTAACATATTCAAGTTTGGATCGGATTATATTGACTCTTAAGATGAAGTCTTTCATGTTCCTCAAGTTGCTGTTATACTTTCGGTGTGTTCATTTCGTTGATCCGGTGGTGCTGGCCTGTTTTTGCTTTTGTGTTTTCAAAATTTCAGAATCAAATGTTAATGTCGGGGTGTTTTTAAAAAGGTTTTCTTGTCAGTGATGTTGGTTCCTTTACTGGGGGCATGGGCAAGCTGTCCAAGTTGTGGGGCAGATTAAGTGATTTGAAATATCTTGTGGGTCAAAGCAGAACAAAAATTAGGGGAAATGGGTGAAAATAACCAAGCTCTCAAATAAGAGACTTAACTTAAAATTCTGTCTGACAACAATTTTGGCGTTTTCCAGTTACCAAGACTTTAGAGTTCAGAAACCAAATGTTCTATCTGCTTTATCGAAATCATGAGATTATTCAGAATCGGTAACAAGATATTCAAAGAAAGGCTTTCGAAAAATCTTGATCATGGTTCACACGAAACTCCAAAATTTAACGTCAAATTTCTCCAAACTAGGAACAGAGCAGAAAGAACTTTTATCGTAATTCTGGGGCAGCAGCTTGTTCAGCTAGGTCTAAGGCTTGGATTTTGGGAATCTTAGAAGGGCTGGCTGCCTTTCCGATCACACTTTCCTGAATTGATGTTGGCGTTGGCGTATTAATTGTAGGCCTATGGGTCACCATCACTGACCTAAAAAGATATAGTTTTAGGCCAGTACTCAGCGCAGTAAAGTCGTGATTCAGGGGAAATAACTCATAGTGACAGTCTAGTCCAATTCAGGGGAAATAATTAAAAGAGAACAATGTGTGCCGAAAATTACAGTAATTGAAACTTTTAAAAAAGTAATGGTAGTACTTATCCCTAGGGACTCGATTGTATGGCTCAGAGCTCGCTACTTTTACCTTTACCCTTCCACATCTATCCTATATATTTATACGTATGTGTGTATGTACATTATATATGTATTTATATATATTTATATACACACTGTGTTCTGAATTTTTACCTTCTCATGTCAGAAATTTCTTTTCGCTCCTAGATAGCCTTGCTTTAGCCGGGTGTCCTGTTGGAAAGGAATTAGTTTTCTTTTTACATCTTCTAGGACATTACATTTTGAAGAGAATAATTTAAAATGATAGAAATTGCTTCTTTTTTTCCTAATTGTTCTCTCCCTTGAACGCCTTCTCAATTTTTTTTAAATTTCTCTGTACTGATGGTTTACACCCGTCCATTTTCCTCAAGCATCTTTATCTTTTAAAAAGAATTAATAAACAGTTTTTTGTCAATGTTTTCCACATGTTTTAAATCATATTTTTTCCACTCTTTACTTCTTTCAGTTTTGGGGGTTTTTTTGTTTTATTTTTGTAGCTGAAGGTTTTGTTGTT